ACAATAAACGAGAAAACGATATGCATATTTTAAGTGTAAAGGACTCTTTTTTCATCACGCAAAGTAAAAATACAATTTCTAAGATGATAACAATTTACAATACAATTTCAAGAGGATAATGTTTAGTAAGCATATGTCAATCCGAGAAATTTTTCGGAAAAGAATAAAAAGATTATAAAAGTAATTTGTTTAATTGTGTCAATTTTACTGCACTAACAAGTTGGCCTTTTAACGCGTTCCATGCCACATGAATCACCATTGACCCACGCTTGACTTTCCATTCAGATCGTTTGATGTTTCGACTATATTTGTTTCGACTAAAAAAAAACGTAATTATAATAATAAATAAAATAAAAATGATTGTTTATCATACGTGGATTTATAATTTATATATGATGCAATCTGGTACATTAGACTCATAATATGATGCAGTATATAGTGTACTAGTATTAGATCATTTTCTTTACAATAATTTTTGTAATTTTTTAAAATTATTATAAAATACATGTTATTTAACAAATGTAGCAAAAATAATATCGTCGTCATCAACGTGATAGTCAAATTTATTCGCTGGCATGAAACGTGTTGAAAAAATTAAAAATATTTCTCCGCAAGATTTCTTATTGGCTCTGCGCGACTTAGAACGTCACTTTCGCGAAGACTATATACTTCAGTGACTAAATATATCCAATTTTAATAGTATAAATGATCATCGAGTCTTGTTTGGCCCAATCGCGTGATAGAAGTTTCCCGTTTACTCGGTCCATTCAACGTCGTACATTTCCCTCGGACGTGAGGGCGCGGCGAGGGGTAGAACACTACCGGGTTGAAAGTACAGCCGGTCATTAGGCGGACAGGGAATCAAAATAATTGGCCTAATCACGCTTAACTGGTCGCGATTAGATTTGCGTTGCTCGGTCCGTAGCAGCAGCCCACGCAACCTCATTTAGCGTCCTTCCGCGTCCAGTTTCGCCTTCGACAGCGCTCGCTTATCGATCCTCAGGTACCATCGAAGCTTACCGAGTAACTTTCGTGAGTCCCACGGCGAAGATATACCGTCGCAAAAGTTGTTACCAAGTTTCCTCGGTGCAAAGCGCCAACAGCAGCGTCGTGTCATGCCTGTTTCCCGCGATCTGTTCGCAGAGATTCAGAATTGCGACAGCGTCAAGATCAAGTTCGAAACGTTGCACACGATGGACTCCTCGGACACGATCGACATAGATAGCCATATGTCGGATCGGGCGAGCGTAAGTTCGAAAAACGCTGCCGACAGCGACAACATGATGATGATAACACCGGAGCTATTGGGACTGATGCCATCAGGAAGTTCTGGTCAGTCAGACTCTGGTGAGAATAACTCGAGGGGGCACAGTGGACAGTCCAGTTCGCACCATCACGGTTCAAAGTCGTGGACGCAGGAGGACATGGACGCGGCTTTAGAAGCGCTGAGGAATCACAACATGAGCCTGACAAAAGCTTCAGGTAAGAAGAAAGATATATTCCG